TGGTAACAGACACTGCTGACCATCTTATGTACATGTCAGGTACTGTTGTTTCTGAGTCTCTGGGGAAGATCTTTCCCTAGATTTGAGTAGTCTCCTGACATATATGCACTGCTCACTATATTACATACATAAAGGAAAACCTCTAGCTACCTCTGGAGTTCTCTGTCTATGCAGCTACCCTCTATGTATGCTGCCCTGTGAACTCCAGCCACCTTACCCTATCCAAATGTTTATCTTCAGCTCTTCGATTTGGGGACCTGCCTGAGCTCTCCATTCCCATGCTGTGGCTTAGAATCTCTCACAAGTTATAAATATGAAACAATCCTAGGCCTTATCTTATTATTTTTTCTGTGCCTCTTAGGGATCATGGTCTTTTGTCTCTGATGTCCAAGGTGTTGAAAACCATTGTTTCAAATATTTTTTCTATTGTGTTTGTTTGTTTTCTTCAGGTGGTTTCGTAGATCCTATTCCTTATACTCCGTCTAGGCTGGGAATGGAAGTATGAAAAATCTTCTTTTTTTTTAAACAAACTTTTTGTTCAGTCTTACCAGAGGTTTGTTAATTTTATTAGTATTTTCAAATAACCCACATTTGTCTTTCTGAAATCTCCTTATGGTATATTTGTTATTCATAATATGTTATTTATATATTTATGTTACTAATTTCACTTATTTTTATTATCTACTTTCTGATTGTCCCAGTATCTTTACACAGACCTACAACATAAACTTGAAACACTCCCACCCAGATTAACCCCTGGGCAGATGGTAACTCAGCTCAAGTAACTCAAGTGGCTCTTGTCTGGCATACAGTATATGTAGACTCACCTACAGTGAGGGAATTTCTTGCATAGCAATAAAGTCCAGTGTCTCCTGAAGAAGTGAAGAAACATGAAAACTCCACATATTAAGGATTCTAATCTACAAGCATCTTACTGTGGATGAAGTATTCACTTGGCAAGAAATTGTGTGATGGCAAGGTGTTACTTAAGTCATGATCAGTCACAGGGGAATAGAGCTCAGGGTTGGACTCAGCTTAGAATCAAGACTGGGAGCTGGTGAATTTTCACAGAAAACATAATGAACTCTATACGCTACCTCCTATGGCAGGAGGTGCACACAAACAGCCATTGCTCTAGAAATTTAGAAGGTGGAGAATTGGTTCATCAGTGGCCAGGGTGATCAAGAAAATCTTCATTATGTAAACGGGAATGTCTTGAAACTAGTATTGAATGGAAATTTTATTAAATGAATACATCAATTTCTTTTTGAGCAATTCTCAAGAAGATGGTCCCTACCATCACTGGTCTAAGTGTCTATGCTTTTTATTTTTTCTAAAATTCTGGATATTTTCTCACAAATTTCTATAAGATAACATTCCTAAGTCCTGTGGCACAGACACTGTTCCCTAACACAAATATTGAGTAGCTACTATTTGTGTTTCTCAGAACCTAGCATACTTTCTTACAGAAAAACTGCATATATCTTCCACTTCCTACATGGATTAAAATTTTGAATGTGACTCTTTGGTTAGAGATAGTCTTTGAAGATTTGTAATCAGGTAAAGGCCACAAAGTTTTGTGCCATTAAATCAAATTGATCAAGTCACATGTCATACGCCCTACATTCAGAAATAAGGAGGTGCTTGCTTCTTCCCTATTCATGCCAACAGTGCTCTGTGTGTGTGCTCAGTTGCCCAGTCATGTCCAATTCTTGGCAACCCCATGAACTGTAACCTGCCAGGCTCATCTGTCCATGGAGCTTTCTAGGCAAGAATACTGGAGTGGATTGCTATTTCCTACTTTAGGGGAATCTTCTTGACTCAGGAATGGAACCTGTGTCTCTTGCATCTCCTGCATTGGTAGGTACATTTTTTTACCACTGTGCCACCTGGGAAGCCTAGCAACCATCCTAGATAAACCAAATGTGTTGCCATTTGCTCTGGGAGAGGCTGTGATAAATATGGCCATCTTTAGAAAGGTCATAAAGTCTTGTGAGGAAAAAGTTACAAACCAAAATATCTAGCAATGACCTGTTTTTGTTGCATTTACATGAATGCCTTTTATAGTTATGAGGACCTATCTGTGATTGACCTTTACAAATGCCCTTGCATTTACATGAACATGACTTGAATTATGGCTGATCTGGAAGGAAAAATCAATACAAGGAGAAAAGAAAGTGTTGGCCTATTGCTTTCTCTATGGTATTTAATAATTCAATTATTATACGGTTAGTGAAATACAGTAAACTAATTATAAGGAAACCAATTCTATTGTCTAAGTTGCATGATGTGTGTATTTATTTCATTTGTATATAGTAATCTATGACATTATTGAATGCTCACTTTGTACCAAAGAATATGCTAAGTGTTTTGTATATATTGTCTCACTAAAGATTTGTAACAATCCCATGATGCAGGTATGGTCATCATCCTTATTTTGTAGAGGAGAATATTAATACTTTTAAGTAACTTCACAATTAGACATGGTGGATGGGGTGAGCCAGGATTTGAACAAGAAAAGTTAGACTCCATTATGATTGATTGCACTGAGCTTGCCATGTAACTGCCATGTATGACCACTTTGTGATGTAAAGAAATACTGACTCACTTTATATGCACCTAGAGCTAACATAGTATTGTTTGTCAATTATTCTTGAATAAAACAGTTAATTTAGATATGTAAAAAGATAGGAACTTAGCCAATAATGGTGTATATATGTATGCTTATATATGTTTGTGTAAACTTATAGTGTATATATATATGTGTATGCTTAGTTACTTAGCCATGTCCAGCTGTTTGAAACCCCATGGACTATAGCCCACCAGGCTCCCACTTCCCAGGTGGTACCAATGGTAAAGAACCCACCTGCCAATACAGGAGACATAAGAGATGCAGATTCGATCCCTGGGTTGGGAAGATCCCCTGGGGAAGGGCATGGTAACCCACTGTAGTATCCTTTCCTGGAGAATCCCATGGATAGAGGAGCCTGGCAGGCTACATTCCATAGGGTTGCAAAGAGTCAGACATGACTGAAGCGACTTAGCACCACTAGCACCACCATATATGTAATATATGTACAGTTAAATGCAGAGTTCCAAAGAATAGCAAGGAGAGATAAGAAAACCTTCCCCAGTGATCACTGCAAAGAAATAGAGGAAAACAACAGAATGGGAAAGACTACTGATGTCTTCAAGAAAATTAGAGATACCAAGAGAATATTTCACGGAAAGATGGGCTAAATAAAGGACAGAAATGGTATGGACCTAGCAGAAGCAGAAGATATTAAGAACAGGTGGCAAGAATACACAGGAGAACTGTACAAAAAAGATCTTCATGACCCAGATAATCATGATGGTGTGATCACTCACCTAGAACCAGACATCCTGGAATGTGAAGTCAAGTTTGCCTTAGTATGCATCACTATGAACAAAGCTAGTGGATGTGATGGAATTNTCCATCTAGTCAAAGCTATGGTTTTACCAGTGGTCATGTATGGTTGTGAGAGTTGGACTATAAAGAAAGCTGAGTGCTGAAGAATTGATGCTTTTGAACTGTAGTGTTGGAGAAGACTCTCGAGAGTTCTTTGGACTGCAAGGAGATCCAGCCAGTCCATCCTAAGGGAAATCAGTCCTGTGTGTTCATGGGAAGGACTGATGTTGAAGCTGAAACTCCAATACTTTGGCCACCTGATGCGAAGAACTGACTCATTGGAAAGGACCCTCATGCTGGGAAGGATTGAAGGTGGGAGGAGAAGGGGACGCCAGAGGATGAGATGGTGGGATGGCATCACCACCTCAGTGGACTTGAGCTTGGGTAAACTCTGGGAATTGGTGATGGACAGGGAGGCCTGGCGTGCTGCAGTCCACGGGGTTGCAAAGAGTTGGACATGACTGAGCAACGGAAATGAACTGAACTGAACTGAATTTAGAATATAGAAAAATAGTTAAGGCAATATTTGTGCATTTGTACAAGCTCAGTCATGTCTGACTCTTTGCAACCCCATGAACTGTAGCCCACAAGGCTCTTCTGTCCATGGAATTTTCCAGGCAAGAATACTGAAGTAGGTTGCCAGTTCCCACTCCGAGGGATCTTCTTAACCTAAGAATCAAACACACATCTTCTGTGTCCTGCATTGGCAGGCATATTCTTTACCACTTCACCATCTGGGAAGCCACAGTAATATATATATCATAAAAAATTTTCAACTATTTTTCTTTTCCTTAATTTATCACTGTGGCTCAGATGGTAAAGAATACACCTGCAATGCAGGAGACCAGATTTCAATCCCTGGGTTGGGAAGATCCTCTGGAGAAGGGAATGGCTACACACTCCAGTATTCTTTTTGGAGAATTCCATGGACAGAGGAGCCTGGCGGACTAGAGTCCAATGGGTCACAAAAAGTTGGACATGACAGAGTGACTAATACACAAGCACACACACACATACACACCTATAAACACATATGTACAGACATACATACACATACGGATGTTCCAATTCACTGGGAAGGAAGGTGTGTTTCATTTTGTGCTGTTCCATGTCAGGGCATATGTATGTGACTGCTACTGATGGGAAAGAGTTTCAGTTCAGATGAGGACTCTACAGGAACCCCACCTCCCAGAACAAAACAAAGTACCTTTCTGGGCACACTGCTTGCATCTCCAAAACAGACTTTCTTCCGTGCTGGCTCATGTGAGAGCTTGCTATGAACACGTCTCTGTCCCTTTCTGGACTTACGCAAGATTGAGGGACCTTTGTCTAGACTTCCCATCGGTGCTTGAACATGGGGGGCTGCTCAGCAGACATGTCAGCATATGCCTGAATGTTTCTTTCTGAGTGAACCCTCATCTGTTCAGTAAGAACTAATTTGTGCTCACTACTGGTTTCCCTTTGAGATGGAGTCCTTATTAACACATCTTGATTTTTAGAGGATGAGGGATAAATGGGAAAATGGGTACATTCACTTTGTATCTTTACTTACTTAAAGTTTTATTTTCAGGCAAGTGGATTCAATATATGCCTTTCCCCAGGGTGAGAGGCTCACAAAGCAAGAGAAAAGTCATTTTTCAGTCAGCAGAAATAGAGGTAAGTCAATCTGGTGCCTACATGCTCTGTGAATGCTGGCGGCCAGCCAGAGTTCAGGTCTTAATTAAGCAGATTAGGCCAAAGAAAATACAAATGCAAACCCAGGCAAATTACCAAAAGTTGCTGTTATTCCAGCATTCCAACACACTGGATTTCTGAATATAAACTGCCCCCCAAAATATTGTTGGTTAAGACTGAGGATAGCAAATCCTCTGGCTGACTGCAAATCTGTCTGCTGGAACTTCGGATATATAAGCTCCGATCTGAGGCTTTTCCATACATACCAGGCAGGAGAGCCTCTGGGACTCTGTGTGTGTGTGTGTGTGTGTGTGTGTGTGTGTGTGTGTGTGCACGCGTGCATGCACATGCATGTGCATACACACATGCACTCTGAAGATTCATCATGTCAAAAGCAGTACTTGCTCTGCAGTCCTTGTTAGAATAACCACATCACACAATGGTTTCTTTCTAAATAAACAGAGGAGGAGAGCTGGCCGATAAGGCCCTTTGTAAGATACATCAGGCCAAATTCAATCAGCAGTGCCTGGATGCAGACAAGTGGTCTTCTATGTTGGCTGGCTTGGGGGACAATATCATCCATCCTGTACACAGGCCCCCATAATTGTGTCTCATTCCTGACTCCTGCAAAAAAAAATGACCCCCTCTTCCCATGGTTTGCAAAACACATGGGGAGGAAATAGCAGATCTGAGCTAACTGATCCAAGAATTCTAACCAGATGATAGAAAAATGTTTTGTCAAAGTAAGAGTTCTTTGAATTTTTAAGAGCCCTATATAATTTAATACACGGTCTTTTCAAGATAAAGTCCAATATGGGACCAGCAGAACTATCTGCCATTATTTCAGAACATTTTGCCAATTATTTCCTTTTGGATTCTCCTCTGGAGAACATTCTTTCTTAGTCCTCCCCCTACTTTTCTTTTTGGCAAGAGTATAAAAGAGTTTGCCACTTATGCAACACAGTAAACGACACAACTGAAGAAAAAATGCCTTGCCTGTGTTTTCATCTTTATCAAATAAACCCCATAAAAAAATAAATAAATAAATACATAAACCCCATAAAGAAGTGATTTTTTAAGAAGTCTATTAACCTACCATTGGTTTGTTGGGGGAGCTGGCTAGTGTTTTGCTCCCTGAGTCAGTGGCCCCTTTTATTTGTTTCCATGTTATTTGTTTTCAGCTTTTTGTCTGCAGTAGTCACTTGAAATAGGAAGTACTCTTCAGAGGTTGATGCTCTTGACCAAGACTATGGATGAAGTGGATACAAGGCTATACCCTGAGCACTTCCTTTGGGAAGAAACAACATGGTGATTAGCTTTCCTGCTTTTTGGAGGTTTTTGTCTACAGACATGAAGGCACTGTTTGCCTATTTTGGTAGAGCCTTCCTCCTGACTTCCTAACCATTATCTACCCAGGTGTCTATATTCTCTGCCAAGGTAAGTCTACTGGGGGACAAAACTCCATATTTCATGATTATCTTCATTAAAAAAAAAATGCTCTTCCCTTTATTGTGAGTAGTTGAAAGCAATAAAGTAATTTCATAATAAGATTAATTCACAGAAAGGTAAGAATGACTGATAGCATTTTGAGGAATAGCACTTCAAGTAATTTGTTCATGCTTACAGAATAAGGACATACATTTCTTTGAGCATTTCATCTGTTTGAACATAGTCTATTCTGTCCTTATGTGTCATTCGAAACCCAGTTTTAGGTTTCAAATATATTATCATGATAAAGTTAATCCAAAAGGATTATATCTTTATTGACACTATTCCAAGGACTAGGATAGATAAACAAGACCTCTTCAAACCCACAGATCATATCATATTGAAAATTGATTGCTCAGATCACTCTGTCATATTCTTATACCTAAACCAGGACCAAGGATTAAAAACTTTCCTACGGTGTCTTTGAAAGATCCTTCCTTTGCATGGATGATGGGGCAGAGTGGCTTAATATCAGAAAGCATGTTCTATAGAATAAAATAAATAAGTACATAATTAATTCCCATATAATCTATTCTGTTCTTTGCTTGGTCAGAAATTCCTACCGTTTGATCCTCTATCTGTGGAGTGAATATCAAAGAGGTATAACAAGGCAGCTATTCACATAGGAAGGGCTTTCAGAAGACTCCTAGCTTGTGCGGATACAGAACTGCAGAAGACAACAGTCAAGACAAGGGTAAAATGAGCTGGCGAAAACCTAGAGGCAATGAACTAGATAACATGAATTAGGAGTTAAAGCCTCAGAGATCCAAATGGCTTTCCCAGTGAAAAATTCATTTATCTTGACCTAAGACAGGAAATGAGGAGGAGAAAGAAGCCACCAAGCAGAAGAAAACTTAAACATTTGAAGAGAGAAAGTCAATGTGCTCCAGATGCCTATAGTGGAGACATTTTGGGAAAAGTTCCAGAAGTTTGATGGAGCTAGTGTGTATCACTGGAATTGTGCCCTTCCCGAAGAGCCCTCTGGAGGGCCAATAAACCCCACTGCAGGTCACCATGCTGGTTGGACTCTCATGAAGAGGGAAAGGGAATGGCTAGCACCATGGAGGAGGAATGATGTCTCCAGGGATAATTTTCAAGAACATTTTATGATAACGGGACAAACGTCTTAAGTGGTGATCAAAGATAGAGAGCAATTAACACTGAGAAGAAAGATTCATAAGTTTAGCATAGTAAAATTTGATTTGGAATTCCCAGCTTTGCTCCCAACTATTTTAAAAGGTCCCTCCTGATGCTGTCTATCCCTATTGTGAAAACTCAAGTTTTCCGCAAAGTTACTAATGTCTCATATACCATGGTGCTGTGCTCTTTAACTCCCAAAATAATTATTCCTCTCAAAGCAAGGAAGTCACTGATGGGAATACAGTTAACTTTACTGGACAGCAAATTTGCATTTATTCCTTCTGGGAGAATTAGTCTGAGGCAGTATAACTTGAAGGATCTCTATAAAGAGTAAATATAGATTGAGACTTGGCTCTTGTTTTCCTCAATAATCTAGAAATATGATGGGCTGTAAGTGTCCCGCAAATGTCCTTTCTCTCCCTAGAACCCATGAACTCACTCTCTCCACCTCAGGCCATCTGGTGTTTGCATTAGACTTCCATGTGGTTTTTCACTCACAAGACCAAGTCTGCACCCACCCTCTCTCATGTCAGGAATTTGATCCCAGCACTTCCGCTCCTTCTTTCACATGTTTCTTGAAGCACCATGATTTCCCTGAATAATAAAAGCTTTTTTTCTCCTTACTGTTTTTCTTCTATAGAGCCTCCAGATATGAAATCAAATGTTGTACATAAACTGTGTGCATACTTTATTTGTGTGTTTATTATTTATTCATAGGTATTGGTTGTTGTTTGCATCCATGGCTTAGATGTTCTCTGTAGAAATATTCTCTTTTTTTGTGTCAATAATGCCCATGTTCAGTTGTAACCTATTTAAGGGTAGAGAGTATACTCTTTAGCAAGTAGTTTTCAAAATGAATCTCTCTCTCTCTCTCTCTCTCTCTCTATATATATATATATATATATATATACATATATATGTACAGTAGAAATTTGCTGNATAGATAGATAGATATACACACATATATATGTACAGTATATATTTCAAAACACTCAAGTTTTTTTGTTCAGTGGTTTTTGTAAGTATAATTTGTTGATGTTCAAAATGTTTTTCTGCTCCGAGTGCACAGTCACTGAGTAGACACTACACCATCATGAATAACCCATAGCTAAAACTGCATTTGATAATGAACCATTGGTGCTGACAATGATGTTCACTCATTGCCTGCTTTTTGGTTCTTTTAAAACCTGCCTTCATTATAATATGATCTTTGATACTGTTTTTAATAAGTGAAAAACAATCTATAGTAACTGGCTTTCAGCAATTTGGGTTGAATCATTTCAGATAAATAAAGACAGAGAGCAGAAGAGATGAATTGTCTCTAAAGTTCTCTCAAAACTAGGAGTCAGTGATATTTACAAGGCAAGTGGGGAAGGCATCCTTCTTTATTTCCAGTGTTATAATATCTCACCGCATGATTTTTAGGGATGTGGTGGGGCAGCCCTCTGTTACTCCCACTGCAGGGTTCCACTGATAAGCTGTTTGGAGCAAACAAGACTGTGTTTAGATTGGATGTTTGAGACTGAGCCCAGTAGCAGAGTTGTAAAATCGTGGATGAGAAAGGTCGGTAGGAGACACAGTGCGTGGCTGATATTTGCCTCTTCCTGACCAAATGCTGCTGCATATGGACGAGCCTCTACAGAAACACAGTGTATCTCGTGGGGTGGGGGTAGGGGTGTGGGTGTCAATAGAAAGGTTGACATGACTTTAGGGGACTCCAGGCTGCAATTGCATGGCCTGAGCAATACCAATGAAGGAGGCTTCCTTTGCTTCTGAGCTCTCCTCCAGAGAACCAGAATGGCAGTGACCAGGGTAGAGAGAGTCATGTTTCCTTTGGTGGTGGATGGTCTAGATCATCAGACACACTTACCTGATTGAGGCCCCCACTTCTGTCCCTGCAGGGTCTCTGCATTACACTGGCCTGATCCAGCCTTTCTGAATCTGGCTACAACAAAAGCAACAGTCCCCCAGAAGGAGCCTTTTAAGTCAATGGTTTAAATTCCTGGTTTTCTGTCCCTCAAGGGACAATGAAAGGGGCCTGACCTCTTGCTCATGTCAAGAAGGTTTGGAGTTCTCTGGAAAGAGGAGAGAGACAACTTCTTAACAGTTTGATTGGATAGCTGGAGTTACTACACAAGCACAGAAAAAAAGACTGAAGAGAAATAAGGTGGAAAAGTTAACTGTATGGTGAAATTTCAGGTGATCTCCTTTTACTCTTTGCAAAATTCTCTACAATAAGCATGTATTTTAAAAGCCACTAAAAATAAATAATGTTAAAATATGCACCCAAAACCTGAACACAGTAAAATACTTTAAGTATGTGCTTATGTATAAAAATCCCAAACAAATCAAGGTTGTCAGAAATCACAAAAGATAATTTAATTCAAATTAAAGATGTGAGCTATTATCCTTTTCAGATATTTACAGAATAGACTAACAGGAGTGAACTGTGTTTGTGGATGAGACATGATAACTTTGTTTCCTGCTGTGACAGTTGTTTCTCTCTCTTTAACCAAGATTATATTTCCAGACTATCTACTTCTCCATTTCTCCTGCCTTTTATTTTTCCATGGTTGCAATCTCCTGTAATTATGGGAAAAATCTTTCCTGGAGCAGCAGCTCTGAGATTAGCCAGTTTGGAGCCAACCTGAGTATTCCCAATTGGTGCTCATTATCTTCTTTGTAAGAACAGTTTTCAGGACAGAGTTAGCTCTGCTCTGAGACTTAAAACAGCTGGAAAATGCATGACTTGACATGCATTAGATCTGACAGCATGTGAATCCAACTGTTCAAAAGTACTTAATACCTATTTAATTTTCTTTTTTTTTGGCATTTTATTTTCTTGTCCTTAAATAATCACCACAGTAATCAAAAGCATTTATGAATTACTGAAGTGGAACTCAGAATACTTAAGAGCCGATTGATTGCTTGGATAAACAAATGCCAAAGTTCAGGAGAAGGTCAGAAAGTTGAGTGTTGTCTTTTATTTTGAAGAGCTCAGTCTTTAAATTGCACACATTTGTCCTTGAATTGTCTGAATTCAGCCTGAAAGGGCCGAAATGGTCCCCAAATTAAGTCCTCTTGTACCTTGTTGATATACATTTATTTAAGAAAACATGAGATCCCCATTTTGTTAATTTTTAAACACTAATCTATGCTTCAAGATTTAATAAACAGTCTTTCTTAATGACCATTTTAGTCATTTATTCATTCATTCATTCTAACCTTTCTGGATTACATCAGAAAATAAAACAAACAAAAATGTCACTATGGAGCTTAAATTCTAGTCAGTGTATAATAAACATAATACATAAGTAAAATATATAGTATGATAGGTTCTATGGAAAAAACAGAATAGCAGAGGGGAGATGAGGAGAAAACAGACAGCAACTTTAGATGGAGCAAGGGGAGTGGGGATCTGGGTCAATCTCATTAAGAGGGTGACTTTTAGGTAAAGACTTGCAAAGGGGAGCAGGTTAGTCAAAAGAAGGGAGTGATCCAGGCAGGCAGAATAAATGGTGCAAGAGTCCTGAGAAAGAAGGAGAAAGGGAGAAGGGGCCGGTGGCAGGACGGCAGTGCAACTGGAGAGAGAGGGGGGAGGGGTGTTGCTATGGAGGGTGACGTCAGAGCGTGCATGGGGGAGGGGCTAGAGATTATGTAGGGGCTCCTGGGCCACCATGGAGATCTTGACTCTTCCTTTCAAATGGGAGCCATTGCAGAATTTTAGAGGAGGACTTGACCTGACTTCTAGGGATCACCCTGGCTGCAGTATTGAGACTGGATTGGAGTGGGCAAGATTAGGAGAAGGGAGACCAGATAAGAAGCAGTCAGAGTGCTTATGATGCAGCTGCTTAGACCAGATTGGTGGCAGAGGAAGCAATGGGAAATGGTCAGACTGACCCTGTTATCCAGGTGAAGCTAACAGGGCTTGCTAATGGATGGGAGGCAGGTGTGAGGGGAAGACAGGAGACAAAAGGTTTTCCAAGGACTCGCCAGCTCAGCAAGGTGAAAGAGAGGGCTGCCTTCCAGTGAGTTTGTGTTTCTCTGTTTCAGAGACTCAATGGTAAACTTCTGGAAGACAGGGACCAGTGTCTTGTAAACTTCATTTGTTATTTTTGTTGTTATATCTCTAAGTCATGTCTGACTTTGTGACCTCATGAACAGGCTCCTCTGTCCTCCACTATCTCCTAGAATTTGCTCGAATTCATGTCCTTTGACTCAGTGATGCCATCTAACTATCTCATCTTCTGCTGGCCCCTTCTCCTTTTGCCTTCAATCTTTCCTAGGATCAGGATCTTTTCCAACGAATCGGCTCTTCGCATCAGGTGGCCAAAGTATTGGAGAGTCAGCTTCAGCACCAGTCATTCCAGTGAATATTCAGGGTTTATTTCCTTTAAGATTGACTGGTTTGATCTTGCATTCCAAGGGACTCTCAAGAGTCTTCTTCAGCACCGCAGTTCAAAAGTATCAATTCTTTGGCAGTCAGCCTTCTTCATGCTCCAACTCTCACATCCGTACACAACTACTAGAAAAATCATAGATTTGATTATATGGACCTTGTGTCAGCAAAGTGATATTTCTGTTTTTCAATACAGTCTATGCTTGTCATAGCTTTCCTTCCAAGAAGGAAGCGTCTTTTAATTTCATGGCTGCAGTCACATTCCACAGTGATTTTCAAAAAAAAATCTGTGACTGCTTCCACTTTTTCCACTTCTATTTGCCATGAAGTGATGGGACTGGATGCCATGATCTTACTTATTGAATGTTGAGTTTCAAGCCAGCTTCTTCAGTCTCCTATTTCACTCTCATCAAGAAGTTCTTTAGTTCTTCTTCACTTTCTACCATTAGAGTGGTACCATCTGCTTATCTGAGGTTGTTGATATTTCTTCTGGCAATCTTGATTCTAGCTTGTGATTCATCAAGCCTGGCATTTTGCATAATGTATTGTGCATGTAAGCTAAATAAGCAGGGTGACAATGTACAGCCTTGTTGTACTCCTTTTCCATTTTGCAACAGGAAACAGGTAAGGTGGTCTGGTATTCCCATTTCTTTAAGAATTTTCCACAGGTTGTTGTGATCCAGTCAAAGGCTTTAGTGTAGTCAATGAAGCAGAGGTAGATATTTTTCTGGAACTCTGTTGCTTTCTCCATGATCCTATGAATGTTGGCAATTTTATCTCTAGTTCCTCTGCCTCTTTGCAACCCAGCTTCTACATCTGGAAGTCCTTGGTTCATGTACTGCTTGAAGGATTTTGAGCATAAACTTGTTAGCATGTGAAATGGGTGCAATTGAACATTCTCAAAGAATGGGATTGGAATGAAAGCTGACTTTTTCCAGTCCTGTGGCCACTGCTGAGTTTTCCAAATTTGTTGGCATATTGAGTGCAGAACTTTAACAGCGTCATCTTTTAGGATTTGAAATAGCTCAGCTAGAATTCCATCACCTCCATTAGCTTTATTTGTTGTAATGTTTCCTAAGGTCCATTTGACTTCACACTCCAGGATGTCTGGCTCTAGGTGACCAGAGTCACCACACCATCCCCACGGTTATCCGGGTCATTAGGATCTTTCTCATATAGTTCTTCTATGTATTCTTGCCACCTCTTCTTAATATCTTCTGCTTCTGTTAGGTCCTTGCCATTTCTATTCTTTATTGAGCCCATCTTTGCATGAAATGTTCCCTTGGTATCTC